TACCCTCTGCACCTCTATCGGAATCGTACATTCAGGGGGATCGCGGTCTTTTTGTTCTGCCGCTATGTTCGTATCTTCATCAACACTGTTGCTGCCGTCGTTGCCGTCGCTGTCACTGTCAGCCGCTTCCGCCGGGCCGTAGCTATGTTCTACAAATACATATTTTTCTGGCTGGGGTCTCCCGGTTCTGTCTTCCCAGGCGAGGCCAGACTTGTCTTTGAACTTTTTCCCAAACTGCTGCTTGGCGTCATCGAGGGACCCTGTGCCTAGAATGGCACCCCGTCCTTTCAGGCCAACACGGCCCCAGCGGGTCCAGGTCTTGTAGTTGTCTTCTTTGAAAAGGATCTAGCATGCGGCCGGTCAACTGGCTCGTTTGAAGAATACGAGATGTGACAGAAGTTTGGGGGCGATGATTACCTGCAGACGATAAAACTCGTTATTGTTTGAAGCATTGCACCGATTCAGAGAAGCATCGTAGGCCGTGCCGCTCCGTGGGTCAATGTAAACGGCATAGTCTTGCAGAAGGCGGTGGTCATCCACAGGAACAACAATATGCCCTTTACTCAGAACCTGGCAATGAGATGGATCTATGGGTTTCTTCCCCAGAACCTGTTCCTCCGTCACCTCAACTGTGAATGGCTCATCTGGGACCTCTGAGATGTTGGTCTTTGTCAACTGTTCGTCAACAGCATCATGCACAGAATCATCCACAGGATCATCCACAGGATCATCCACAGGATCATGGCCACTGGTACCATTCCCATGACCATGAGTGATGCTGCTTCTGTCATATCTTCTTTCCCCTTCATTGGGACTTGCAATACGAAATTTTGACTTCTTACAGCTTGAAATAGTCTTGGCATTGCTGCTGGCGGCCGGCTCTGCCTTTGCATTCCCGTGCTTGTCCAGAGTTTCCCACAGGTAGTCATCGGGATTGGGAAGCGCACTTATTTTGGGGTCATCCTTGAAGTTTACTATTGCTTCCACCCACCCCGGCTTAACAAGGACCTTCACAGGTCCCTTTTTTAGGCTTCTTGCGACCCTGACTTGAGGCGCATTCGTATCGAAGTTCCTTTTCTCACATACGAGATGGGAGGTGTGTTGACTAATCCTGTCAGTTACAGATGCACCTAGGAATGTGAACAGGCTTTTAAGCTCTTTGTGGGGACGCGAGAAGGCACCATATAAGACGATGTGGTACTCTGTCAGTGGCCAACCGGCGGGGAGGGCGTTGCGGCCTTGATGTCCAGCAGGCATTGTTGTTGATTGCGGGTATCTGGGATGTGATGAATGCGAAATATCGAATGCTTTCCTGCCATTGGCGGATTGAGATGGAGACACGGATGGGTTACAAGGAACACGTTCCCATGGGCGGAATTCTCCCCTTTCTTATCATCATTCCCAAAACAAAGCCAAGCAGTCTTCTCGTCCTGGACCCGGGATGCGTATCCGAAAAGACGCGCATTGATCGAATTGATTTGGTCATCTCTCTTACATCACGACGATTTTGTCAGAAAGAATACAAATTGGATTGATATGGGAGGTCGGCTTATTATATTTGGCGACTGAAACATGTCATAAACTCTAAACTACCCGTGGTTCGGCTGGCCGTGCATTGGACTCTGATGCTGCAAAAGGATTTATCACACTTCTTTGCAACGCCTCCAAGTCTGCGGTCACGAGCGATTACGGTACATACGCGACTAGTACATACAGAAATATACAGAAATTGCTCAACGCAGACTTATTGCACGACCCTCGACAAATTGATACAGCAGAGTATTTTTGTGCAACCATACTAAAAGTAATTTGAACCTAATCCATACCACACATACAAACCGTACTGAAAGTGATTTGAACCTGATCCGTACCGCACATACACCCCGCCTAGAGCCT